CTTAATTAGGGATATTAAACCAGACAATCTTTTGCTGGATAGAGATGGTCATATGAAGTTATCTGATTTCGGACTATGCAAGCCGCTCGACTTAACTCCTTTGAAAGGGAGAGGACGAATAACGGAAGATAGTTTAACGAGTCCGGTGGATTCAGGTGGGTGTGTACCGGATAAGGTGGATGGGACTCAGTGGACGAGCCCACTCGAGCAGCTTCAGCACTGGAAGTTCAACAGAAGGACACAGGTGGAAAAAAAAAAGGAAAAAAATAACATTTGTATTGAAAAATTATTGCATTTTGCACATGTGATTATTTTTGCAGTGTTTAATAAAAATATTGCAGGCATTTTCGACTGTGGGGACGCCGGATTACATTGCTCCGGAGGTTTTGCTGAAGAAAGGCTATGGGGTCGAATGTGACTGGTCAGTTTTGTGGCAAAAAAGTTAGATTAGGATTTTCGGAAAGCTCTGTTTTTTATGAAATGCTCTGCCTGCAGGTGGTCACTGGGTGCTATTATGTTCGAGATGCTCGTTGGCTATCCTCCGTTTTACTCGGACGATCCTATAACGACGTGCAAAAAGGTGATCCACCCCTTTGAGTCTTCTAATGAATAAGTTTATGGAATAAAAACACTTTAAAGGAAAATATAAATGTGGTTTGCTACTGTGTAATAATAAATGTCAGATTGTGCACTGGAAAAACCACTTAAAGTTTCCAGCTGAAGCAAGGTTAACCCCTGAAGCTAGGGACCTGATATGCAGGTTGCTTTGTGATGCTGAAACTAGGCTAGGTTCTCACGGGCCACACGAAATTAAGGTTTTTTTTATTATTTGATCAGTGTTTATCTTTATTCCAGATTATTTTATAATTTATACACACTGAACTATAGCGGTATGTATGCAGCTTGCCTTGCGTGCAGTTTTCATTGATTTATTTTATTTTATTTTTTTCATCAGGCTCATCCATGGTTCAAAGATATTGATTTATTTATTTATTTACTTTTAATCAGGCTCATCCATGGTTCAAAGATATTGATTGGGGCATGCTTTACGAGATGGAAGCAGCGTATAAGCCGGAGGTCAAAGGGGAACTCGATACTCAGAATTTTATGAAGTACGATGAGGTACCGTTTTTTCGTGTCTTTTCTTGTCTTACAAATTTTTTTGGCTCGTTGTACGGACACAAGGGTCTACTCGAGAATCTTTCTTGTGAATTAGAAGATCTATATATATGTATAATTGTACGGATGCTTTTATATTGCGGTGTACATTAAATTGCAATACTGTGTATCTTGAATTTGTCACGGTTTTGTCGTTCATAAGGAAGATGTCACAGAAAAGAAATGAAACTGTTGTTATGATCAGCAGTGTAATAATGATTAGTCAGTTTATTTTAATTCAGGAACTCGATGTAAAGGTCAGATCTCATGTCACGACAAGGAAACGAGAAAAATAACTCTTTTAACTGAGAAATTGACATTTGTAAAAAATCTGGAGAAGGATTATCAACAGGAAGGAAAATATAAATAACTGAATTTAACTTTTCTTTCATCCATACTCAATACGTCGATTTTAATAAATTCTAGAACATAAATTAAGACAAATTTGTTTAATTGCCTCTAAATCTTCATTGAACAACTTTTAGTATATTCCTCTGCTTCTTATTTAAGTATTTTCGAATGTTTGATAGTTTTCTACATTTTTTTTTTTTTTATGTGTTGCATGACGTAAAGTTGCTATTTTGGCTTTCAAATACAGGTGGATCCACCTCCTCCGAAATCTAGTTCTGGAATATGGAAAAAGGTCTGTTATGAACATTTATATGCTATTAGAGATATTGTATCTTATTATTTCAAAGTAGCTCAAAAGTAAAGATTGCTTAAAGAAATGGAATATTAATATGAATACATGAAGATTGTGCGAAAATCATAATAGTCACTCGTTTTCTCTCGTTCCTTCTATTTCTGGCAGCTGCGCAACCCGAACGACTTGAGCTTTTTTGGCTACACATACAGAAACTTCGGTGGAGTGAAAAAATTGAGTATGTCTTTAATTCAGATTATGACACTCACACCATCATTAGAAACAAAGTTAACGTATCTTAAAATTTGTCTCGGTTTTTTCGAAAACTCCATCGAATTTGATTGTAATCCCTAAAGTTGAACTCATGCAGATAATAAAACGGGCATGTCGCCTGATCGCTTGTCCACTGATTCTATCCGGAGTAAGTCCTTCACAATTTACGCGCTTTTCTTTACTATAGTAACTATTTTTAGTTGGTAATGTTTCATTAACCGAGTTTGATTAACTGCATGTACACTTTCCAGGTGATTCGGGAGTTGATTATTCTGCAATGCAAACTGCCGAAGTGAATGAAATCCTTCTTCGTACTTCATCGGCAGACACTATAACTATGTGAGACTTAGAATTTCATGCAGAGCATATGTTATAACTCTGTATCTGTACTGTTTATATATTGTGAAAAAACTTAGGAATCAAGAAACCTGGGAAATAAAATTACATCAGGTTTGTATAATATAAGTTAATTGAAATTTTCTCTAGGACATATGATGTCGAGATAGATGCTATTTTAGCCATTGTAATTTAGCAGCAATATACCCTTTCTATTAGTGATAATTAATTTAGGTTGATGGTTCAGAAACTCAGATTTGTAAGGCTTGGTTGCTTTTGATGGAAAGCTTATCTGCTACATTGATTTCATTTTTTATTTTTTTTTTAATTTTATTTTATTTTTATTTTTTTTTACAAGAAGCGGAATTTTGTGTGTGTATATGTGTTTATGTAATTTGGTTCTAATGTTTTTTGTCATTTGCATATGTAGGAATTTCTGAAAGAAGATCCTTATAGTGCAGAAGATATAGAGGATATAATCAAGGAAAAACTTCAAGCTGTATTTGCCAATTCTCCTTCTTCTTTGGATGTGCTTAGGGCTGCCATGCATTTTAAGTTACACCAGGTCATTTCTCGATTTTCAGT